TCGGATACGGATATTTATTTTGAAATATTTGTCGGATACGGATCGGATACGGATATCAAATTCGAATTATCCGACATATCCGATCCGATCATACTAATTAATAATATTATTAAATATAAAAATAATTTGCTATAAAAATTTAAAATGCTTTATACTTACATATATAACTATATGTATATTCAAGAAATATTTTGTATATATTGAGATTTAGAATATTTAATCTTTTAAATATTAAAATTTGTTATGTTTAATTTTTGAATTTTGAACTTTCAATATATTTGTATATAATAGATTATGATTATATTTGTATTTGAATTGATTTAAAATATTTAAATTATGAATTTTAAATTGTGAATAACATTTATATTAAATAATTTATATATATTTTTTTATATTTAAAATTGTTATTTAAATTTAAATTTAATTTTTATAATTTTTATGTCGGATACGGATATTCGCAAATATCTGCGATATTTATGGATATCCGAAATTTCGGATATTCGTAAATTACGGATCAGATACGGATAATAAAATCGAGTATTTTGCGGATCGAATACGGATATAGATATCTCAAAAATCACGGATATCTGATCTGTACCTACCCCTAATTTAGACATCACAAGAGCAATTCTTTAATTCGTGGTGAGAAAAAGGCCTTGACTTTCTTTATTTTCAACTCCAATGTCGTTCGGACAAAGTAATTTGCTTTCAAGAAACGGATCATGTTCATTAATGCTGACAATTACTCTATTAAATAATGTCGATAAAGGTGTGAATTAGGATGCTACTTGTTACGTCGATATGACCAGTGAACGAAACGGCTGCGGTTTCTAACAGTTGTACACGATTGAAAATCGACTAGGTGAACCGCAAACAATCGCAACGCAGCAAAACGTAGGATTTTTAATCGCAACTCCATACCCGCATTTCGTGGCATTTGATTAAAAAGATCAAAATATTCTTTTTTAAAATTCAATATTTCTTTACTAATATTTTTTATTTAAAAATAATTAAATTGATAAATTTATATTTAATTATTTTATAAATTTAGTAAATAGTTTTTTATCAAATAAGAATAATAAAGCACCCTTTTTAATAGTTACTTTTTTTTTTGTAAAAGTAACCCAAGACGGGACTCAAATATAGCTACATATTATTGGGAAGGAAAAACACGGATATTCATATATTAATATATTATGATAGGAAAATGTCCAGGTGCAAACCGACAACTTCAACTTGCGAGCAAACTTGCATAGATACGTTGAAAAATGGAAGTCAAACGACGAACTTTGATGTCGTTTTGAGTTCACCCCGAAATAATTAAATAAATGGTCATTTTTTAAACTGCGTTCATGTTTAGACACCGCATCTATTTCGTACAACAACTCTCTGCCTTAACAATTTAAAAAAAAATATTGGACACTGATTTAATATTTAGAATAATTATATACTGCGAAAGGTTGAATTACAACTGGCTAAATTGATATATATATATATATATATATATTCCCAATCCATGAGCTCCCACAATTCGAATATTTTTTTTCCTGTAAACCACAATTCGAATATTATCGCCTATTTTCTTTGATATAATTTCATAGTTTTTTATTTAATTTTCTTTACATATTTATGTATAATGATTTGGAAAAAGTAATTTCTAAACTATCACTAAATACATCTGTGTAAAGGCTATTGTAAAGCATCGGAGTCGTTTTTTTTTTACAAAAAAAAATATTACAAATATTAAACCACAATCAATCGAGCCGTCTTGTCCTAATTTCCCGCTAGAAAGGTAACAACATCTTTAGACTGAAAAAATAAATACGACTCGACCAATAAAATCAAAATATAATTTGACCAAGGAAATAAAGTCAAATACTACAGCAAACGGTCAAAGACCTGATTAAAAAATAAAAATAAAAGCATAAATATTAATGGGCCGGTGTAAACAGAAGAGGCCCAATAAAGTCACGTGCAAAAACCGACCTCTTACCATTTCGTTTTACATCTCTGTCTGGACACCGTTTTATTTTAATAATAATATCTGGAATTCAGTGCCGTTTTCACACCCACGGATTATATGCAAATAATAATAATAATATTAGTCACCGATCCCGTGATATTAATTGTTTTTTTACGGTGAAATACCATTTTTTTTTGTATCAGTCGGCAACTTGCATACCCTGTATTAATTATTTAATCTCTTAGACCCAAAAAGTTTAATTATTTATGGGTTGTGCATATGCTCTCGTTTTATTATCTTTTGGTACGATTTAATTTAGACTTTTTTTTTCCGGCTCATTTACGTGTGTTTAAAAGGTGGGATTTGATCGATGTAATAAATTAAACCATATTTATCCACAAAACGCTATTAGACCGTTCACACGAACAAGGCAGGCCGACTCTTTGCGTATGGCGGCGCTGAAAAGATTCAGTTTCTGAAAACAAAAATTAAGAGGAAGAAAAATCCAAAAGCGTTTTGCTTCTTGCGTTATATCTACCGTCTTAAACCTCGTCCTTTGCCCTAAAGAAACATCTCTCTCTCTCTCTCTCTGAGGTTTCTTTGCTTCGAAGAAACCATTTTCGTGGGTTTTAAATTATAACGTTTTGTGGGGTTTGTTAGGGTTTTTAGGGTTTATATTTTCTCTGTGTATGTGTGGGCTAAAAGTGGCAGACCCGAAAGATAACGACGCCACAAAATCATCAGAGGCCAGGGAAGATGACCGTACGACGACGACGTCGGAGTTTGACCATTGGATGTACCTTCTCGCTCCGGAGGACAGGGACGCCGCCACGGCATCTCTGTTTCCTGGTCTGACCAGACAGATGGAGATGTCGGCGATTGTGTCGGCTCTCACCCACGTAGTCGCCGGAAATGCCCCCAGTTATCATATTCCGGCGGCCGAGGCGGTGGTGTCCGGTGGCGGTGGAGAAGGGACTTCGTCGGGGCAGAAGAGGAGAAGACAGGAGGAGGAAGAATACGGTGAAGCGGTTGCCGCCACTGTCTCGATAACTTCCCCGCCACTGTCTCGATAACGGCAGTTACGGCCGGTGAGTACTGGTCGGTGGCCGGCGGCGGTGCAAGAGGTAAGTTTTGGCTACGCACGCATATATTATTTAACACTTTGTTGCTTTCTTATAAACCAAATTAGCCAAACATATATTTTCTTTAACCCTTAGATAAATAAAAAATTACGTGAAAACGAGAACTAAAACGTGATATTTGCATGGCAGATTCTGGTGGTTGTATATTTTTTTTTTCCTTCTTTAAATTATAAATATAACTATAGCGGTCACATAAGATGTTCTATATTATATTGATATTATATTGATGCCAAGCGGTTCCGATAATATACCATACATATAAACAAAGATACGTATGTCGAGACATATTATGTGTACTTGATCGTACCATCTATATATATATATAAACTTAAGATGAATAGTAATTAATAGAGCTTGATGCCAAAGGAATCTGCCATGAAAAGTTGTATCTCAAACCTTTAATGCAAACGCCGCAGGCCGTTTTGCCATCTCCAGTCTATTTGGCTTCAGAATCCGATAGCGACTTAAACATTAAAATCCCTTCTACGTCATATTTACGCAGTTAATAAAATTATATATACATATATATATATGTCGCATATGGTATTTGCCCATAGATTCCTACGGCTGAAGAATTGGGTAAAAAGCTTATATATATGCGAATTGATTTTGCAGGTGGGGAAGCTTCGAGCAACATATCGGCAGCGACAGGTCCGTTATACGAGTACTCAACGGCAGTAGCCAGTGAAACGTCATCGTACAGTGAGGACCAGCCGAAGAGAAAGTACAGAGGAGTGAGGCAAAGGCCGTGGGGGAAATGGGCGGCCGAGATTCGCGACCCGTTCAAGGCGGTTAGGGTCTGGCTCGGCACTTTCGACACCGCCGAAGCGGCCGCTAGAGCTTACGACGAAGCCGCTCTACGGTTCAGAGGCAACAAGGCTAAACTCAACTTCCCCGAGAACGTAAAGCTCGTCAGTCCCGCGGCTCCACTGCCTGAAACAGCAGTTCCAAGGCCAACCTATTCGAGTATTTCGGGATCCGGAACTGCCTTTTTGCCCATTCAGCCTGGTCCCGATCCGATGAGAGACAGTGGGTCGGGGAGCTACGTTGCGAACTATTCTGAGATGATTCATACTGGTTACCACCAATCCATGAGTTCGTATGATCACCCGATGATGTTCTCGTCCTCTGTTCCGCAAGCCGGAGTAGTGCCAATGCGATCCTCGGGTTTATCTCATTCGTCCTTACCACTTGTTTCACCGTCCACCGTCTCTTCTCATTCATCGTCCTCCTCATCAACTACTCTTCCGTTTTTTCCGGCGGCACATAAACCGGAAACTGCGAGCAGAAGTGGCGACTCATATTTGTTGGAGCCACCGTGGTCAGACGACAGGAAACATGACCATAGTTCATCAGGATGATGTTGATTATGGTGTTAGGTCCTAGGTTGTTCCTCTTGTTTGTTTGCTTATAATTTAATTGTTGTAAACATAAAAGGTGGCCATAAGATACGAGGAAAACACATGAATTGGGCACTAACCTGAGTTCCGTACCAATCTTGCAAAGAAAACCACTGGGTGGCCAACACCTTTCAGGTGTAAGTGTCATAAATTTCCAAACGAATTTGTTCTAGAAACTTGCCTGCCTTCCGTCAGATAAACATTAGAAGCTTCCCAGTAAGAAGAACCCGAAAAAACTATAGGACAAAACACCAACCCTACAGAGATTCTGAATGGCGAGTCTCGTTACTGTGATCGTCGTTAACGGGAGCCCGGGAAAGAGGATAGCAGGAAGATGAAGGAAGGGCTCAAAACCTGTGATTGATGATGGCAATTGGCATGTGCGGCTGAAACCCTCAAGCTCTGACAGCAGATTTGTGAACCATCGTCTCCTTGTGAATTTGGTGGCAACTCTTCTCGACGAGATCTAGAAGCTTTTCCAAGTTCATAGCCCACGAGTTTAGAATGTCACTGCTGTCCTTTCCGGCTTGGAAACATACAGTTCCCGATGGTCGGTCGATTTTCGAAACGAGGGCTTTGGAAACAACCATTTCAGACAGATGCTTCTCTGCTTCCTGAATTGTCAAGGATCATATCATATATCATCATCTTAGGAGGCAAAACCAAATGAATGTTAATGACACTATTATTTACCTCAATGCTCAGACACAACAGCTGGGCAAGTCTCTTTAAGGTAATCCTTGAGTAGTACTTTGAGACGACGATAATATTCTACAAACATGAGAAAAAGTCACAAAAGTAAATAACCGTATGGATCGATGCAAATACGCAAATTACATGTAGCAAAGACTTTTTACGTGTTCAATGATTCTCAGCTTCAAATCTTCAGCAGCTTTGCCACCCAAAGAGCCCCCAATCATGTTTTTCTCTTTCTCAAACTCGTCCTTATATTTTTCCCAGAGTGATGTCCATTGGATGACCTCCATTGTCATGATCTGTTTCAGAAGCATCCTGTGTAATAGGTTATAAACACAAAGAGGTGAAGTACTTGAGACAAAGGAGAGATGAATAATCAAACATCAAACATAGAGAGACAAAAGAATACATACCTGAAATCGGGAATTTCTGACATATTCTTATCTTCCAACGTTGAATTAAGCAAGCTTGATTGCATCGGGTCATATGGCGATAAGACAAGGTACCAGCAAATCTTCCTCAGGACCTGTGTTCGAGGATTGGGCACAAGTTAATCCAGATGTACTATACAATGTACATGTAGACAGTGGATGACCCGATCAATGCTGTCTTACTGGAATCCATTGTGCCGGGTTTTCCTTGACAGAAGGGATATCATATATTGACTTGTAGCAACGACATATTTCAAGGTAGTCGTTGTGGTGAGAGTAGTACCTACAGAAATTAAATCAGAATCTAAGATCCAACTGTAACAATTTATCTATAAATATAAAGCAGCCAGGACATACAAGACAAGAAATCAAATTTAGAGCAAATATAAATGCAACAATTTCAGTGAGAAACCAGACATTAAAAGAACAAGTATCTACACTTAATTGTGTTCAAGAGCAAACGCTTCACATATGCAGACAAGTGTTCCAGATAATTGACGGAAAACAAAATCCAAAACGGTATATTAGATAAGGAAACATAGTGATTACCGAATCATTAGCTCATAATAAATTCGTTTCAGCTCCAACAAGGATGGTATATCAGCTGGAGCCTCTTCTACTATGCTTTCACCTTCCTTAGGTTGCTTCTTCTCTTTCAATGTATTGGCATCAAAAACTCTTGGATTGATCTTCCTAGACAAGATTTGAGCACGGACATAATCTTGTCGATCTAAGCACAAACGAACCTTTGGAGTTTAAAACCAACAAATGAATGGTTCAGATAACTAGCACCATAAATAAGTAAATATGTGAAGTCAATAAACATAACACAAGATTAACAATAATGCATACTTGTTCAAGAATAAATGCGATCTTCTCAGTTTTTGCCATAGCACCAAATGTCTCCACCTTTTGTCATAAATTACATTACAAAGGATTAGCAAGGAAGAAAAGAAGTAGCCTATATATATGCAACCCAAAGCAAAAAATCGTACAGCGACTTCTTGCATAAGATCTGCAGCTTCAGCTACAAGCCCCTGCTCTTCTTTAATCTTAGCAAGCTTCTTGATCAAACGAGCCCTCTCAATTTCGACATATATCTAAACATGCAAAACACCGATGAGAGATATGTCAGTAGGATGCGAAAGTAAGAACGAGAGATAAACATCAGCTCTTTTGACTCTGAACCTTTCCAGCAGACACATTGTTTAGTGTCTTAATAAGCTCTATCCGTGTGTCAATATCTGGTGTCTGATCAATGTACTGCATTGCTTGCTGGACCATAGATTGCGCAGCCTACAGTTACAGGAACAAGTCCATGAAAGACACACAACAGAAACCCATATCGGGAAATTAGATACTTCCAAGATGTTCCACCGTATGGATATATCAGAGGGCATATTTTCTCATTTTTATTAGCTGAAGGATTAAAATGCATGTGGGTGGGTTGAGCAAGAGAATTCAGCAGAAAGAAAAAGATCTTTGAGGAACGGAACGGAGTTAAGCTTTTACAATTTCGTATTGTTTGAGATTCAACTTCATAGATTCACAATTTGATATAGTTCCTATGAAGATAGGTAGCAGAACATGAGGTACATCCAACTAAAACCAAAGAAACACTGAACACAAAAGTGCATCTATTATAGAAACTTCATTACATAAAATCATCACCTATCTGCAGTGACCCGATTTAGCAATAAAATGTAGCCAGACGGCAAATTTAAAGCTTCGGATTTGCAAGGATCAATCAAAATTATAATAACAGAGACCACACAACCAACCCATCAAACGAAAGCGGCCAACATCAAGAGTTTCAAGTTCCTTGAGTTGATGATTATGAGTTCAATTTCATAATAAAATCAGGGATTTTAAGAGAACAAGCCTATGCAATTCAGAAATTACTGGTAGAGGAAACATGCAATGGAAATTCGTGGCAGAAAAACAGGCTAAAACCACCAAACCATCAACGAGCAGGCGAATCCAACATGACATTTGGAGTCCCACAAATTTAACCCACCAACTAGAAAGATCTTAGATAATCTGCGAACAAAATCGAAGTACCTGCTTAAGCTGGCCACGCTTCTTGGACAGATTGACAATCTGTTCATTCAGGAGTTTCCAGTCCTTAGCTTCGAAACAAAGCTGAAGAATGTCAGTAACGGCCTTCCTCGTCCCAGAGACATCTCCGGCGAGCCTCATCTGCTTCTCCTCGTTCAGGAGCTGATCTATGGCAGCCTCCAGTTTCACTCTGTCCTCCTGAAAATCGCAAGTGTCAGAGAAAGAATGACACGCAAATTCGAACAAGGCAAACGTTCCTCAGATCTGAGAATTCATAGACTCACCATCGCAAACCACCGGAATTCACCTCAGAGAAGGATAATCCAAGAGAGCGAGAGGAGAGGAACCTCAGTCTTCGAAATTCAGAGTCCAGAGCGAGAGAAACAAGAGACTTGAAGAAGACGGACCCTTGAACAAGAAAGAAATGTCAGAATATTTGGGCCGATGATCCGTTTATTTGAAAAGGCCTTAAATAAAGATTTGGGCAATATGGGCTTATGAGAAAGCCCACACTTGTATTAAAATAAAACCGTAGGAAATTATTATTTTTCATGGGTTTTCTCCTTTAATTTGGTATAAAATTTATCAGATGTTGGGCTAGTTTTTACTTGTTCAAAGATACAAAATTAGGGTAACACCGCATGTTCACTCCAAATCGAAAATAAAAATATGATTTACTTTATTTGGTTCATTGTTATTGTTCGATATATACGATGATTATAGGTCGGTCCAATCATGTTTTCTTGGTTGAAAGGTATCATGTTATGCATGTATAATAATTAGAAGGGTTTCATGTATGCCATCGTATATTTTCTATCATTCATAGTCATATAGTCCAAAAACTTTTTTGGATGCGTATATTCTGCCTAGTTTCATGCTTACCGTGTTATTTTCATGAGTTCCAGTGTTATCAAAAAAAAAAACAAAAAAATAATACACACACGCTACACGCATATATGTGTATATATATATGTATAACTACGTACATGATCTTCCATGTGTATGAAATGTTTACACAAAGAGATTTGTCAGATTTATACATTGGTTCTGATCATATCCTTTACCTTTTTCTATATATCTTTGTAATGTTTTTATAAAGAAAACTAACAAAAAAACGTATCAGAAAAAAAATGTATTTATCGTCTTCGATTATGGATAGGAGTTTTCTTGTTAGCCGTATTGTAATCCATATCCACCAACCCATCACCGTCGCTCCCTCCTCCTCCTCCGTGCCCTAACGATCGTCTCTCTCGTCCCTTCTCCGCCGTCGATTTTCCACTCTCGTAGGTTTCTCGCAAACTTCTTGCTGAGAAAAGAACACGAAATAATCAAAATACATACAGATATATATTATATCATATTTGGATATAGATAGATAGATGGCATGTGTTCAAAATATTATATGTCGATATTGAAATATATGTATATATGTATGAAATGTTAAGATTGTTCATGGCTTACCTTTAGTAGGAGAAGAGAGGAAGAGGATGAGAAGAAGAAGAAGAAGAAGAAGGAGAAGGATGGATTTGCAGGAAACCCTAATTGCCATCTTTTCGGAAGATTTTTTTGTATATTTTGTAATGAACTTTTTCTTCTTCTTTTTGTGCATATGCAAGTGGTGAGTCTATGAGGGGAGATGGTCCCTTTTTATATTAGGACCGAAGATCGACTGAAACATTTGGAAGTTATGGAGACATATGGGTCCAACGGATGTGACGCAGATGTCCCTCTGCCCTTTCATTTCGTCTCAAAATCAATAAATAAAATAGACCGAATATTCATAATTATAAAATAAGTAATAAATTGATAGAAAGACATTCGTATTATTATTATTTTTTTGGTCGATAATTTGACGCTATATGTTGGCCACGCAATTGATTAGATTTGCATGGTACGACGCCGTTTTTGCAACGATTTAGATTCGTTTTCCTTTTATAGTCAAGTATCCAGTTTTAAAAATAAAATAATATATAGTATTTGTGTAAAAATACATATTTTATTTAAGAGCTAATGTTTCTTTTGGGATAGACGACTCTTTATAATTTGGTAGTTAGTTTGGCGTAAAATGCATTGGATCGTTTATTTTTCTACATGAGATGGGTTAAAAAATAATATATAATTCACCTTTTGACTGCAAAGCCTTGAACCATTAACTAATGGGAACCGACCATATATGAAATATATGATAATACTATATGGAAATCGGACAGAGGTAATATGGAGACGGAGTGGTCCTTCGAGGAATTATGATTATAATGTCACATATGTGTCTGTATACACTCATAACGTACCACCGAAATTGACATAAATGAGATATATACCATGCATGATATATAAAACACCCTACAAGATATTGCATGTTATATATTTATCAAATATGCAACATTCCATAGTGATAATGTTGATATAAAATGTTAAGGAGACTATATATTATTATTATATATATATATAACAATACTTTTCATATTTTACTACTTTTATACATGATAATTACAAGTATATAGCAGATGAAAAAAATGTATCCATACACACACACACATATTGAAAATAAAAAAACTGGACCACGGCATGGTGGACCACGGGAGCAACATGTGTTGTAGACATTCAACAATATATATATATATATGGCAAAAGGACACATAGTTTGTGTAGTCATGTGTTTTGGGAATGGCGATGCATTACTTATAGGGCGAGAAAATCCGACAAGGGTGGGCTCCAGTCACTTTCCATAGATCAACTAAATCCTGAAAGCTCGAAATTTCCATGTGAATGCGAATCTAATAATTATTCAGCATAGCATACGCTACAAATATAATGATTGTAATACAAACATTACATCAAACTATATTTATTCACATAACCTTCTCTTTAATGGTTAGGGTTAGAAATATAGATAGAAATGGATAGAATAATTCAGACCAGGTTGACAATACTAGGATTTGAAGATCGATTTGAAAGACTCTGTGTTCGCGTTATAAAAGATCTTTGGGTAAGTCCAGAAATAGAAAGGAAAAAAAAAACATCGCATCTTGTAACCAGAAACGAAGACAATCTCAAGACAAGTATCGAACCCTATAACAATTTTCGAAGAAAAAAAAGTATCCGAACTTGTTGCTAGATCTTTTTTTTGTTGGTAAAGAAAAAAAATGCAATGAAACAAATACATGCAAGTGTTCTAGGGGTGGCGACTTTTCGGTATTCGGTTCGAGTTAGATTTTTTTAAGAATTTTTCGATTTTTCAGTTTTTTTAAATTCAATTGGGTTCCAAAAAAAATCGGTTTTATTAAAATATTATTGGACGGTTTGGTTAAAAAACGGTACCGGAAAACCATACCGAAACGCGCACCCATAGTGTCCATCACGTGAAATGGTCCGCAGACCCAACACAGCAGAACTCGCTTGGGGACCGCCTGTTACGTGGAAACTTCTTTTACGTAAATAAACCACGTCGGTCTTAAAACTAGATGTGGGTGTTTCGGGAAACGGTTCGGGTTTGGGATGGAATAGATCGGATTGGGCACAAGTTAATCCAGATGTACTATACAATGTACATGTAGACAGTGGATGACCCGATCAATGCTGTCTTACTGGAATCCATTGTGCCGGGTTTTCCTTGACAGAAGGGATATCATATATTGACTTGTAGCAACGACATATTTCAAGGTAGTCGTTGTTGTGAGAGTAGTACCTACAGAAATTAAATCAGAATCTAAGATCCAACTGTAACGATTTATCTATAAATATAAAGCAGCCAGGACATACAAGACAAGAAATCAAATTTAGAGCAAATATAAATGCAACAATTTCAGTGAGAAACCAGACATTAAAAGAACAAGTATCTACACTTAATTGTGTTCAAGAGCAAACGCTTCACATATGCAGACAAGTGTTCCAGATAATTGACGGAAAACAAAATCCAAAACGGTATATTAGATAAGGAAACATAGTGATTACCGAATCATTAGCTCATAATAAATTCGTTTCAGCTCCAACAAGGATGGTATATCAGCTGGAGCCTCTTCTACTATGCTTTCACCTTCCTTAGGTTGCTTCTTCTCTTTCAATGTATTGGCATCAAAAACTCTTGGATTGATCTTCCTAGACAAGATTTGAGCACGGACATAATCTTGTCGATCTAAGCACAAACGAACCTTTGGAGTTTAAAACCAACAAATGAATGGTTCAGATAACTAGCACCATAAATAAGTAAATATGTGAAGTCAATAAACATAACACAAGATTAACAATAATGCATACTTGTTCAAGAATAAATGCGATCTTCTCAGTTTTTGCCATAGCACCAAATGTCTCCACCTTTTGTCATAAATTACATTACAAAGGATTAGCAAGGAAGAAAAGAAGTAGCCTATATATATGCAACCCAAAGCAAAAAATCGTACAGCGACTTCTTGCATAAGATCTGCAGCTTCAGCTACAAGCCCCTGCTCTTCTTTAATCTTAGCAAGCTTCTTGATCAAACGAGCCCTCTCAATTTCGACATATATCTAAACATGCAAAACACCGATGAGAGATATGTCAGTAGGATGCGAAAGTAAGAACGAGAGATAAACATCAGCTCTTTTGACTCTGAACCTTTCCAGCAGACACATTGTTTAGTGTCTTAATAAGCTCTATCCGTGTGTCAATATCTGGTGTCTGATCAATGTACTGCATTGCTTGCTGGACCATAGATTGCGCAGCCTACAGTTACAGGAACAAGTCCATGAAAGACACACAACAGAAACCCATATCGGGAAATTAGATACTTCCAAGATGTTCCACCGTATGGATATATCAGAGGGCATATTTTCTCATTTTTATTAGCTGAAGGATTAAAATGCATGTGGGTGGGTTGAGCAAGAGAATTCAGCAGAAAGAAAAAGATCTTTGAGGAACGGAACGGAGTTAAGCTTTTACAATTTCGTATTGTTTGAGATTCAACTTCATAGATTCACAATTTGATATAGTTCCTATGAAGATAGGTAGCAGAACATGAGGTACATCCAACTAAAACCAAAGAAACACTGAACACAAAAGTGCATCTATTATAGAAACTTCATTACATAAAATCATCACCTATCTGCAGTGACCCGATTTAGCAATAAAATGTAGCCAGACGGCAAATTTAAAGCTTCGGATTTGCAAGGATCAATCAAAATTATAATAACAGAGACCACACAACCAACCCATCAAACGAAAGCGGCCAACATCAAGAGTTTCAAGTTCCTTGAGTTGATGATTATGAGTTCAATTTCATAATAAAATCAGGGATTTTAAGAGAACAAGCCTATGCAATTCAGAAATTACTGGTAGAGGAAACATGCAATGGAAATTCGTGGCAGAAAAACAGGCTAAAACCACCAAACCATCAACGAGCAGGCGAATCCAACATGACATTTGGAGTCCCACAAATTTAACCCACCAACTAGAAAGATCTTAGATAATCTGCGAACAAAATCGAAGTACCTGCTTAAGCTGGCCACGCTTCTTGGACAGATTGACAATCTGTTCATTCAGGAGTTTCCAGTCCTTAGCTTCGAAACAAAGCTGAAGAATGTCAGTAACGGCCTTCCTCGTCCCAGAGACATCTCCGGCGAGCCTCATCTGCTTCTCCTCGTTCAGGAGCTGATCTATGGCAGCCTCCAGTTTCACTCTGTCCTCCTGAAAATCGCAAGTGTCAGAGAAAGAATGACACGCAAATTCGAACAAGGCAAACGTTCCTCAGATCTGAGAATTCATAGACTCACCATCGCAAACCACCGGAATTCACCTCAGAGAAGGATAATCCAAGAGAGCGAGAGGAGAGGAACCTCAGTCTTCGAAATTCAGAGTCCAGAGCGAGAGAAACAAGAGACTTGAAGAAGACGGACCCTTGAACAAGAAAGAAATGTCAGAATATTTGGGCCGATGATCCGTTTATTTGAAAAGGCCTTAAATAAAGATTTGGGCAATATGGGCTTATGAGAAAGCCCACACTTGTATTAAAATAAAACCGTAGGAAATTATTATTTTTCATGGGTTTTCTCCTTTAATTTGGTATAAAATTTATCAGATGTTGGGCTAGTTTTTACTTGTTCAAAGATACAAAATTAGGGTAACACCGCATGTTCACTCCAAATCGAAAATAAAAATATGATTTACTTTATTTGGTTCATTGTTATTGTTCGATATATACGATGATTATAGGTCGGTCCAATCATGTTTTCTTGGTTGAAAGGTATCATGTTATGCATGTATAATAATTAGAAGGGTTTCATGTATGCCATCGTATATTTTCTATCATTCATAGTCATATAGTCCAAAAACTTTTTTGGATGCGTATATTCTGCCTAGTTTCATGTGTACTACACATACGATCACATAAACTATTATTTGTGTGTATAATACACACGGGATCTCCCCCAGCTCTGTTGGTTTGAGAGTCCACTTCCTGAACAAGAGGTCGTGGGTTCAACACCCAGGGTATGGAGATTTCCCTTCCGGCCACCTTCGGGTGCTTCACATCCCACACGTGTGGTGCCGGTTGTGCGTATGGGTCAGGATTAGTCTGGGCCCTTTGGACCTGGGATTACCCGGTTATCAAAAAAAAAAAAAAAAAACTGCAGGGGATACATGGTCATGTGTGTTTGTGTCGAAACAGTCGCACGCGTGGGTGGGGG